CGTCATGGCTTGCCAGTTCTTTCTTAACGTTCTCGTTGTCGCTCTCACTGCCATCCATCTATCCGATGAACACAAAATGCTCACGAGAGCACAAGCTGTTGTCGGTCATAATGCATCTTCTCCAAAGGTGACTTAATCGTTCCAATGGTTTGTGTTTAGGTTTAAATTCCAAGAGGTTGATTTGAAACTCTGTAAAACAATTGCATTTATCAAATAAGAATGCAGGCAATTAATAATTAGCCATTTGATGGAGTTGCTCACTTCAATGAATTTGGTCGCTTTCATAATGACCTAAGTGTGAGCAGTAAACGGGAATCATTTTGAGATGTGGTATCATCACTCAGATTTTATCTTATTGCTTGATGACGGTGATTTGCCGATATCAAATCTTGCGGTCACCATCTGAATACGTTTTCTGGATATCGAATGCGTTTGATGTAGCCTATATTTTCGAAATACATCATATGATTCTTTGTTATGGAGAATATAAACTAAGGAAAAACTGATAACGAAACTAGGAATTTTTTTAAAATGATTTCTGCACTTTGTTTTCCTCGAATGGTTGCATTGCTTTTCGCTGATGTCTCGGCGAAAAGTAATACAAACTCGGACAACTTTTCGCAAATGTTTCATTGTCAGCAAACTAGGAAATGAAATCCGGAGAGCTGACGAGTGGTACAATTTAATGGATGAGGTGATGGGGCTTTAGAATTGAGATGGTGTTCCTGTAGCATACTGTGAATATTGCCTCTGTTTCAGATGGAAAATCACGAAAGAAATACAAGTGCAAACTTGGGAAGGAAATCGCTTGTGATGCGATTCAAAAGACAAGCATACCGAGATAGCAATTATCCTCGAACAATATGGTCTGATGGACCAGTACCGTTCACAATCGACTCTAGACTTCGTTGGTTTTCTCTTCACTTGCTTAGTTCACTGCGAACTGATTGAAACTATTGCTGTTTCTTCAAAAACTTTTCATTCCAGAGGGCCAATTAACTAAACATTCAACTTATTCATGCAATTAGAACTACAATTCAATGAATGCATCACCAGTTAATGAATTTTTTATATTCATAGCTTTTTGAGCGACTAACTATTCCACCCAGTTCAATCAATGAACAAAAAATTCTCACAATGAATACTCGTGAGTGGCACTTGAAATTAAAACAAGTTGCAAAAAATGCTCGCACTCATGAAAAATGTCTATTTTTTTTTTCTGATTGGCACTTCCACTCTCTTGAAGTTTCAACGAGTATCCGTTTAGAAAACAACAATGAAACATTTGTTGATATTGAGAGCGTTTTGATCTTTTGAAACACCAAAACACTTTTTTGGATGCACATCCATTTAGGAAAACTACATTCACATTCTATTATATAAAATGAGGAAGTTTCTTTGCACTAAAAAATGAATTCAACCAAAACGTTAGTGATATTTGTGCGCAAAATCTCATAAAGGATGCTTTTTGCGGAAACATTCGGCCTTTTTCGAGCAAAACCAGCTCTATTAGAGTAATGTACTTTTTTTTTTCAGCGACTATGCCTGTTGTTATGTTGTGATTCTGCAAAAAAAGCATTATTTCACCGGCTTTGTGCCGACTGTAAAATTGGTTTTACGCTAATTATATTAGTTCCAATATACACATGCCGTTGTTTCATAATAGGTTCCAAAAAACAAAAAAAAAATTCGTTTGAGCTCATTTCAATTTCTTATATGCGAACAAATTTTGAACGTTTGAAATTTTGATTTGCATCCATTTCATGTCCTTCTTCGTACCAACTGTTCAAGTAGTAGCAGACAGAAGAATGCAAATATGAACTAATTGAAGAACAGAGTAAGAACTCGGACTTCTCTAACTGTAGTATCTGTCATCTCAAGTCCAAAATGAGTATAAGAGGAAGCGTTTGAATTTCGAATTGGCAAGAGCACTCAAAATTCTTCATTACAAAAAATTTTTTGATTGCAGCTAATCAGTGGAATCGCAGCTAATAATATGAATAAATACTACAAGCAGATTTTGAAATCAAGTGCTTTATGATTCAATTTGAACATCATTACATTACATCTATAAAACCAATCATGTGTAAGGTATAAAAACAGAGGTGTATGTCTGATACTGATCATCTTATATCAATTATCTACTAATGATTGTGTTTCGAACAATGTTTCAGCAAAGCATGCTAGATCGATTGTTTTGAAATCAGTGGCCTTTTGGCGTGATAACACTTGCATCGATTTTGCGTTCAATGGTCGCGGACGGAATTCAATTGCTTTCATTCGCGTAAGTTGTTTTAAGCACAGAGTTGTTTACGAGAGAGAGAAGACCGGAGGAAGTTTTACTCAATAGGATATGAAATGTGATGAATTGTCAAATGCGATAAAGCGAATGTTTCAAGGGAAAAGGTTGCTACAGCAGTATTGGCCGTGTTTGGTACGCCCGAAGTCAAGCGTTATCAGTGGGTCAAGAATGTGAGCATGTGAGTGATTATAGTTTCACTTAAAATGAAAACAGCCATGGCGATCAATTCTTAATTCGTAATCACATGACATCTTCTTTCTATTTGTTAAATGCATTGCACTGACCTCACTTCACCCTTTATGAGTGTATGCAATCAGTGAACAACAGTATTAATCAAAATTTTCATTGAAAATGCGATGGGCCTTAGGTGCACTTTATCGAATGCTTCACATCACTTCCGTATTGATTTCAGTCGCCTAATTATCGAATAATGCATTTCTTACAGTTCCACACAATAACACATGAATTGGCGCATGCACTAGGCATCTTCCATACGCAGAGCCGCACTGATCGTGATCGCTATGTGACAATCATATCTGGAAATGCTGAGGTAAGCAATAATAATCACTTCAAAAAACATGCATCACGCATAACGACTCACTAAAGAACCTTAGAGAGTATAACTGACTGCGTCATTTGCATTCAATGGAATGTCTACTTCCTTCTTGCTAAGAAATAGTTTCTGCATTATTCTTCGTCTCTGTGGATGAGTGGTGCTTTTGCAAGGGTGATTGTGTGGCTTTTCACAATGCGATTTTCATTATCGTCGAATGCAATTAACGCCGAATTTCAGCACAGTCAACGAAGTAATTTTATCGCTGAGAGTTCGCGAGTCAGTGAAAATTACGGTATACCATATGAGTACGGCAGTGTGATGCACTACAGGAATCATGAGTATGCTTTCATTTGCATTAAACCATCGCAAAATTTCATCAAAACGCTTCTAGATACGTTAATTTTCGAGGAAATGAACCAAACTGTAAGGAATGTTATTGGAAGCTTGTGAAATTGGGTCACTCATNAGTGCCGAGGCAAAATGGAAATTTCATCGAATCATCTATGATTATCCGCTTATATAGGTGATTGTGAGATAATCTTCACGTTTCCAGGTTTTCAGTGAACAATTATCCAACTGTCGTTGCACGTGATCCATTGCATCGTCAGACGATGGGCAGTGGTACAGGACCATCATTTTTGGATGTGCTTCTTGTTAATAAGCATTACAACTGTCTTGGTAGGTTCAAATGTAAAGGGATTAAAAACGAATCAGTCTAACTGCTGAACATGATCTTATTAACAGATCGCTGTAAGAAGTACAATACAAGTTGTGTGAATGGTGGCTACCCGCATCCACGACGATGTGACTATTGCATGTGTCCGTCTGGTTTTGGGGGACGCTTCTGTGAAACTAAGGTAGCCCTTCTTCAACGAATAATTAATGCATTTCCATAGACGTCTAGCGTTTTAAATGAAAATCGTACGGTGGCTGAGATGTTTAGATGAAACTGATAGCATGCGCCTCTAAATTCGATGCGAAGAGTAAATTGAGACGAATGAAAAGTGTTCGAATCGATAGATCAAAGAGTGTGATAATAATTTTTGAGGCATACTCCCCTGGATGTGGTGGTACAGTGTTTGCGTCTGAAGAATACGCAACGCTTTCATGGACTGCTGGACAGCTAGGTACTAGGGATGATATGTCGTATTGTCATTGGTGGATACAGGTGGTTAATTTGGTCATTGAACGGTTTAATTCAGCTTAAAAACCTTCCATTAATCATTTCAACATAAGCGAGCCTTTCAACTGCGAAACTTCGAAAGTTTTGATTCACATCTGAACATTTTGCTGAATTCCCTTTTGAGTCTTTTCCACCCCAAATGCTTGAGCACTGTAATAAATCTTACCTCAATGTGTTGTCGAAATCTACCAAAATTTGCAGTCGCCATCAGATCAACAAATCGAAGTGAAAATCACGCGACTGAACGCACCGTGCTGGGAAGGATGCCTTTTCGGTGGAATCGAATTGAAGGCATCTTACGATAAACGACTGACGGGATATCGGTAGATATGGATGCATTTTTTCGTTTATGGCCTCATTGTGTCCTGTCGTCTATGCATATGACTCAATGAATTTTTGTCCTAGAAATCCTCGTTCCTTAAAATTGTTCGTTATTTACGGCTTCAATCAACTTTTAGATTCTGTTGTCATGAGTCAGTTGGCAAGTACGTGATAGCGCCTGGTGGAATACTACCAGTGATAATGTTCAATCGACAACGTTACACATCATTTGAGATTCAATACCGAACAGGTTCATAATTGCAAAATTAATCATCTCAATTAGATTGATTCCATACTATCGAACGGATAATACTGTCTTATATTTGTTAGTTTTTCAGTCTAACGGATGGCGACTCCCAAATAAGAGTGTTAAGAAGAAGGAAGATTTCGACATCAAAGAGCGAGCTCGTCGGATCATCAAGAATGGCCTTAGGAAAACAGAAATGGACTCAAGGACGTTCAGTGAGATTCCAAAAAGAGCCAGTCAACGGCCAAAACAACGTTCCGATAGCCTCTATCGATATTCAGCCCGCAAAACCGCAAAACATACTGCTCCACGAAGTTCTTCCGATGCTCCGCAATCGTCACTTAACAGTGTTCATCACCAACCCTTCAACACCACCGTCTCGAAACCACTCGGAATGTCCCATCGCAAGACCGTTCCACCAACACATCACCCTCTGAAACCCCTCTCTCCGTCATCGGCAACATCCACTTCCGCAACTCAAGAAAGTTCGATTAAGCCCGTCGCCAATGCTGCTGTAGCTCGTGCTACGTCCACAACACACTTTCATAAAACATTATCTAAGCTCAGATCACGTTTGCGTGCTCAACTCATCTCAAGAGTACCTCGTCTTCATCTTTCTCGACGGAAAATTTACGCTTTCAGCAGTAACGCTACTGGCAAAAAATTGAATCGCACTCGGAAAGCTCGATGGCATTCGATATAAATCGTCTTTGCTGACTGAAGTGTGTTCAAATAATTAGTTGGCTCGTTAATTCACTTTAAAATTGGTTCAAACCATCGAATGATATCAATTTTGTTGTGAGGTGGAGCTAATTTGGATTTGAATCTGTTTATTTGTTGATTCGGAGTCCTGTCAGTGTAATTAACATATCAGGTTTTATCAAATTATTGATACAATCATTTTCAATTGTTTTTAACAAAACTCTTGTTAAATGAATGACAGCAAGTGCAATTGACGCTATTTTATTGTTATGTTTTGCTTATTGCTTTATTCGTTTTTGAAACTGTTTCGATAGTTTCACCTATTTCTTGATTCTCATATGTTTCCCATAAAATCATGCCCTTTTGCTAACGTTGCCTAACTCCATCAGCTTGAGGTTTGCAGCTGTATGAACGCGAATTAGACAGCTGAAAATTTGTGATTTAGTCTCATTTGTATGTAATTGTGATGAGGTCAATGACTTCAACACCTTCTGATTGGGTCATAAAAAGAAACTTTCGAGCAATGACTTCGAAAAAAGTTCATATGTGTTGGACTGTTGTAATATAGAGTGAAGGTCATATCACAAACTCCGACGCCACATTAATCACCAACAATAAGCTTCATGACTTTGCAACGAGGAATCGATTGGGCGAAGTCGATATGCACTGCGGAACTATCATCTTCTCCTCATAGGAAAGCAGTAGGAAGAATCGATGCGAGACGAAATTATTTCGATACATCATTTTGAAAACTGGGTGTTAGATTGTATCGCAGTGCATACGGAAATGAACAGCGATTAATATGTTTATTGTTAGGTCGTAATGAAGCCACAAAGTTTTTGTAAAAGATTCACGGTGATCTGATGATGATACTAATTAATTAGGATTTGGATAGAAACAATAATCGATTACATTGCATGGCAGTCAATGAATGGTTCAATGAGTGATCAGAGAACATTGTAACGATCGAATAACATTTAAGCAAGCTGATTATAATTTGCTGTTCTGTAAGTGTTGAGAATCGCACGTTAAACAGACGACAGCAATTAATTCGATCAACGAACAATAATGAAACGAAGGACAAATGAAATTATTCATCGGACATTGACGACTCGATTATTTGTTAACTGCAACGTCAGTCAGAAGCATTTCTCAGAACGGAATCTGAGTTCAGCTTTGTGATAAACTAGAGAGCGTTTCAAAGAATTCGGTTGACTATTTCAGCATAACCTCTACTATAAGCGTAATTCAAACAATACTGAAAGGCGTTCAACAATGCGCTACTCGATACAGCATTGCAACTGTTTATTGTGAACACTGAAACTTGTGATAATATTGAACATACAAACGCATAATCATCTAATTGTATAACGCGTAATAAAAAATAAATTGCACAACAAAATACAAAATTGGACATTACAAACGCAATGTGATACGTCAAAATGCATAAGTGATCAAGGACGGTGTTCAAGTTGCCTCATTTTTGAGCCTTTCGATCTGTTTTCGGGTGTAGTCCGCATCCTGTATGATGAACATACCCATGGTGGCATCCATGATAACTTTCGGTATATCAGGTCCTTTGAAATCAACGCACATCACGTAATCCACAACTGTCTTGGTGGCATCTTTTGGATGCATACGAAAACGTCCTCCAGCCAAAACAACCTCGCCCCTGTGCAAATATTTGTTTAGATGCATTACTTTACTGGCATGATTTCAGATACAACGCAAACATTCGAAATTTGCTGAGATTGTTGTGACCAGTCGTACACATCATTTAAGAAAGTGAACTGCTTGAGGATAGCCTCCTGATCAACGTGCAACATATCTGATTATGAAGCAACCACCCCATCGGTAGCAAAAACAAGATGTAAAATGTTGGATGAAACTTACCGAATTTTGTCTGGATTTCTCGGCACATCAGCCAAGTCGAAACTACGCGCTGCCTCAATAATCTCATCACCCACACGTCTGAATGTTCGACACGTCAAGAATTCTCGACCTTTCACGGCAGCGACATCTTTCATTGCGTACTGCATGCATATCGAATGTGTTATGACTGTTTTGAGATTCGAAAACAAAACAAAAGAAAACTATACAAAATGCAACCGTCTACACCAAACATTCGCGTATGATCTCCAACTGCCTTTCGGAAGGCATCGTAACAATTCGAAAACGAATGAGACTCACATAAACAACATCGGCATGCGCTGAAAGTTCTGCAATAACGCGAACATTCGAAATATTCTTGTTGTAATGAATAATATCCACAAAATTCTCCCAGTGCTCGGCAAACGCTTGTTGAAGTGGAAAATCGAAGACGGTCTGAAGTAACGTTTCAAATGATCTTTGAATTTTGACATCAAATACAAAATAGTCAAAAAATATCGAAATGATCACAAGAAAGCCGAAATTTTAGCGTGCATTTATCATTATTGATAGTATCAAAAAGATATATAACTGATAATGGGTACGGTTTGAGGTCTACTTTACAGAAAGCAGATGAATGTTTTCTCACTCTCATTGTGAAAACTTTGCCCATTGAGTAGCGTTTTGAGAAGACCACATCGTTCTTATTCGAATTTTTACGCTTCCAGCCATCGCGCTCCTCGAAATCCGGCATACTCACCATTTCCATCATTGATTTCATCGCATCGTTTGCTCTTCTCAATCCTTCCGCATACTGCAACTTCACAGTTTAGCTTCATTCACAAATCAAAACTTAATCAGACAACAGCAAAAGCACTCCCATCTGAATCACCTCAGCCATGTCTCATAAGTGCTCACGATCAGATAATTCTCGAAAGAAAACACCAATCGGTCAATTCTCAGGTCTCAAAAGCTATTCCAAATCATCAGTGGTTTCAATCCTTGCCAATTCACGATGAGCACAATTTATCGCATTAGTGTGCACCCCCTATTCAGACTGGGATGTTTTGCTTCCGGATAGTTACATTCTTAAAAATGGTTTTTTCGCTTAGAATCTCTCAGTCGAAGATCACCTTTTCCATTTCATTATCTGTTTTCTCCTTTTTCTCTGAGGCTGCTGCTTCTGTTGTTGTTGTGATAATTGGAGCCATTCTGCTGAAACTGTGTTGATTGACCTACTATGATCGAGGAGGAGAACAGCATAAACGAACGTTACCCAATTAACAGCAAATTTCGAAGCGATAAGAACGTAACAACGAAATTCCTCTGACAATTGTAAAATGGTAATTCATTTCCATTATGAAAGTACAATTCCATTCAAGTTGAATTATTTTGTTCGGAAGTGCAAATTGCGCGCGACATTCGATACAAAATTTACACATTTTAATGCTCAATTTGCATTAATTAAACAGGAACCTGATGGTTACATTCATATAACCGAAAATGGAACGAAATCAAGTGTACTATTTAATGGATCAATCATTCACTCATCAAAAACAACAACACACTTCATTATGATATCAGAATTTCGATTAAGCATTCAAATACTTGAGTTCACGAAACAATAAACAATCAGCAAAACAGAAGGACAATCCTTGAAGGGACCAAAGTAATTGCCAATTTTGTGGAACTCATAAAAAATCATTTCTAAGAGATTATTCAAGCTGGAGTATTCAAACATCGTAATATTGTCTGTTTGGATAAGAGTCATGCGATCACTGCAAATGAACAACTATCATGCAGTCATCACTGCACTGCATCCAGTCATACATGGACTTCCTTAGCTGATTTGCATCGAATTGTTTTCGAATGCGGTAATAATCCGAGTCACAGGGTCAGAATGGCGATAAATAGTGAGTATGCGTACTGCAGCATATCAGCTGCAAAACTCTGCACCATTCGTGCATTACACACAACTGATGTATTCTACGTATCCACATCCAACAATTCAACTAACCAGTTCACGGATAGATGAAATAAGACGATACTTTTGCCAAATCGCACACATACATGTATCCATCAAGTAAACTATTGTAATAAAATCTTTTTGAAGTCTTCAATCAATTGAAAAAGAATGGGATGTGATTAATCGAAAACTGAATAATGGCGACATAATTTGACTGAATTTCTTAAATCTTCATTGCCGCTGACAAAGAAACTTCTTGAATGAATGTTTGAATGGTCGAGATGAAATGAGATAAAATAACGGGTGTGTCACGGGTCATTAAGGGAGAAAATTTGATCAATTACATTGCGAACGAAAAGGAAGCAAAGGATCGAACATCGAAACTTGCTGACTTTCACAAGAAGGAGCATGTGCAGCAAGATTATGTCGACGATTTTGTTAATAGAAAATTTCGCTTTCCAAGTTAACTCTGAGAAAGAGACTCTGGGAGCTTGACACGACAAGTGATGAAACGTGACTGTTTTATGGTTCTAATGAGAATGTTCAAAGCAAATTTAGTAAATTGGATCGTATCGAGCATGCGGAAAGGACGAATTAATTGCAACAATCATGTTCAATCGACTGATGAAACTTTACGAATTCATCGAAAACTGAATAGAAACGAAACAATTGATGATTCAGAATGGATAACGACAAAGAGACACAATATTACGAACGGATTTGCTTTACTAAAAAGATGAATGGAATTGTATGGAACGACTGTAGTATCGTTTAACTGGATATGTTGTCGAACCAGATTATTTATACTTTTCTTTTCACATTAATCACAAATGTTTCAAACTTGAAACAAAACGCTCAGTGGACGTACGTAGGATTGTTACCAAACGGAGATGTGTCACTTTGATTCATTCTTCTAGAAACAGCGATTTAACTGACAATGGTATGAATGCGATAATGTTATCGGTTATATAATAATTATGATAACAACGAAAAGGGTCGTCATTCGCTCTGTAAAGTAATTTTGGTGGTATAACAATACGGTATGCGAAATATGTGATAGGTTGAATCACAAGATGAATTTCAATAATACAAGAGGAAAGTAATTTCAGTCGACAAACGGACGACAACGTTATGAAGTGCTTGAAGTTATAACAAGTTTGGATATTAGAAAGGAAGGAATGTTACAATGAAAGGTCAACTTTACAGTGAAACCAATCATGTTGTTGTAGCCTCAGTAGATTTCAACGAGGAGCGATTTAGTTTCCATAAAAATGGCGTTAATTACTCCAAATGGCTGTGACTGTATTGTCGTACTGTTTTAGCACTCAGCGATAACTTCTTCTAAGGTGGCGTTTTCTTGTATTTATAATGAGACAAGGGTGCGAGTTCGGTGAACAATAACAATCGTTTGACAGACGTTCAGTGAACGCAAGGAACGCTTTCGACGATCAATCATTAATAAGAAAAACATTTTTCTTGATCAAAAAATTGTTTTGCATAGTCGCAATGCGTAAAACCATGTATGAATGCATTTATCGTCTTCGATTATTGAAAACACTTTTGGAGAATAAGTGATGAACATAAAATATCATAGTAGAATAGCCGGAATATTTCGAGCAAATAACTTTCTTCATTTCTGTGTAATTCAATTTTAAAGACTAATGAGGATTTGGCGAATTATGGGTAACAGTTTAGCAGTAAACACATTGTCAAGCTTCGAGAAATGTTCTCCAAAAACAGGTTTCAGCAGAGTTTGTCTCAGTCTTACTGATCATGCGATGTATTTCAATCTTAGTCTGATTGATTTGTTTCAATTTTCTCTAGCGAAATAATTTCGGTGCATTGAGAAAAAAGAGAAATTCACATACGAATGTTAAGATCCAACGAGAAACTCTGCAATAAATCGTTGCAAGAACCGATATGATGAAATCAGTTCTCAACAACTGAAACTGAACAGTTGCGAAACTAAATATGAGTGTAATATTTCAAGTGTCACGACACGTTGAAAGTTGAAGTTGATCAAGTGACTGACTGGAAAGTTTTCAATTGAAGTTTACTCGATCGCAATGATTCAAGACACTCAAGCAAGTTGACTGGACGAAATGCACCACATATTGATATTTTGATACTATCGTCACATAGGTGCTTTTTTTCCACTCCTGAACGTCATACATATTAGACAAAATTAGAACACAGAAAAAACAAAATGACTCATGGTTAAGTCACTGAATTCAGCAGATGTCGCAAACATTTTTTCGAGCCTCTTCGATTATGAAATAAATTTCTCGAACTATTTTGGTTCTTAATCAACCGACAAACAAATTTCCAACATATTGGCACCATTCAAACGAAGCGTGGAGGCTAAAGTAATTTCCGGTTCAATCTAGGTTGCGTTATAACACCATCATATCATCCTCACTTTTCTATAAGGTTCAACGAAAAAGAATCCAACTTCGACAGGATTCTGATTTACTCCGCACAATTCACAGAGAAGAGCGGAGTGTCATTCATTTCACTACCAGCTGTCGTGCAATAACGAAGCGAATACCTGATAGAAGAAACTTGAACAATTATTGGCTGCAATATCATTCTGTAGCAACAAACCACAACCGAAGTGGTCACAAATGACCATCGAAAACTGGTTTATAAACAAATGTTTAAAAAGCATTGTTCCGGCAGCAAACGCAACGCAACAAAACCAGACATCGTTCACTGTCGACTGAGATATTCTATAAAACCATGAATAAGTGTCACACGAAGTGAGATGATCCCATCTTCAGATTTCGATGTCCTATCTTCCTGCGATACGATGAAATATGTAAAAGGATGGATGAATGAAAGTGTTCCTCTGCACACAATTTAAATTCAACATTCCTAACTATTTATTTCGTTTGAAATTGTTTACGCATTTCACAGAAAATGAAAGCCAGCTCGAGTCCGTCTCAAGGTCATTTCTTGCCAATATCATTAAAACTGAAATATTGTTCCGTTCCAACTTCGATCATCCGATTACCGTGTAATCGCATTCTGTCATTCCATTATGAAACCATCCTACGATCAAACCCAAATGCTCCCGAGTCTCTGTCAAGATCCACTCCCTCCCCCCCCCTCTTCCGCTTACCGTTACACGAATTTCTGAACCATCAAGAGAGCATTCGTGAGGAATTTTGGAACAGTATTGATCAAATAATCACCTAAATTATTGAAAGTCAGTTGAATTTGGTCAAAAAGTCAATTGATCAAATAATCGCACACTGAAACACATTTAAAAGTCAATCGTTTAAACTTGAAATGCTGAGAGAGATTATAATCATTTACGTGCTGATGTTGCTCAATTACGATCATTTCTTTTGAGTTCGAAGCATTTGACAAAATAAATCAAATAGCTACTTTTACTCATAATCCGACTGATTGTGCCCGAAACTGGTTGAATGCCAAACGATGGTGCCAATGATACAAGCCCATAAACTCTTTAGATCCAAGCGATTAATCAGCTTACCTTTCAGAAATATTGTTCAAATGCAAATAAACCAAACAAGAATTCGCCTAAGAACGATAGAAAATATGTCCTACAACGACTGATCGCTTAATGCGTCATACTTTAATTACTTTGCCTTGATCACGGAAACACTCCTCAATGACTGAACACAGGAGAGTGTTTCAAGTGAAACCGCCATGAGCAATTACGTATCTAGCACACCACCTGCCTTGGGAACAACTCAAATCAATTTAACCGACCATCTTCTCGCGTCAATCAATGAGTGCAAGAAAAAATCAACATTCCCTGTTAAACATAAACGAAACTAATTTTCAGTAGTGTGCAATATCGATTCTGGTAGCACAAACAAATTAATGTTTGTACATCGTTCGATTGGGCAGAATCTCTGCTTTCCACGTGTGAAAAGTTCACCGGAAAATTCCGCCTCTGCGAGGAGATATAGCTAT